CTTCCCTGTCTCTGGCGTCTTCCATGATGTCATCCAGTGTCATACTTTAAGCACCATCAATATGCCACTGGTGCCATGCTTAATCCTCTTTTCCAAATTCTATACGTATCCATGCTGTAACCAACTACTTGGGCATGAAGCTTGCCATCATCATGGATGGACTCAGCACCTACAACAGTGTTTGGCACAATAACCCACAATTATCTAATTAATAGCCATCATAAGGTAAATATCCACTGAGAATGCTTAAAAGATAGAAGACAATCAGTAGCTAATTTCAAGCACTTCTTTCATCTGATACAAATCAGTGGTAGTTCAAGACATTGTGTATTCCAGGTACACAGTAGTCAAGAGGGCTAGCTTGTTCCAAACCTGAGAATTGGAACATCCAGAGGAAGCGATAGGTTAAACATCATTCAAAACTCTGTGAAGAGTGTTTTTTCTTTCTCATACGGGAAAAATCTGTGTAACAGAAATTTCAAGGACATATTCTTAAGGAAGGAGATGAGGTAAAAGAATTCTATGCTGCCAGTTCAGGAAAAACTCAGACTGAATAGAAGTTAATATTGGCACCATCTTAAAAACTTAAAGCTTATAAAAGACAGAATATGGAAACAAAGAAAAAGTGGCAATTTCCTATATGTGTAGACCCTTGAAGAATTTACTGGATTACATCTCATTTTTTAAGGGCTTGGGGAGTAGGTCAGTGGCTAAGAGCACTTTAGGCAAAACTAGAGGACTTGAGTTTAGATTTCCAGCACCCACATAAAAGCTGGGCATAACCACATGCCCCCATAGCCTCCATGTAAGGATAAGGTGGAGGCAGACAGGAGGATCACTAGGGCTCACTGGCCCACCAGCCTGGCCAAAAAACAGTAAGCTCCAGATTCAGTGAGATCCCATCATAAGAGAGTAAGAAGAAGAATGATAGACCAGGATACCAGATGTCCCTATGTAACATGTACATGCCATGTATATTCTCATTCTCTCTCTCTCTCTCTCTCTCTCTCTCTCTCTCTCTCTCTCTCAACATGGATGAATCACAAAACATGACACAGAGCAAAAAGAAACCAGAGATTCTAGATCAAAAAATGGGTCTGAAGAACTTTGAGAATGGGAATGGAAGGTATGTAGATTTGGATAGGTTTAGATGGTTCTGTGAGTATATGTACTTTTCAAAATTCACTGAACTGCATAATTAAGACCTTTATAGTTTGATGAATGAAAAATATAATTCAAGTAAAAGGGCTACAGGGAGACCCTCTCTCAAAAATACCAAAAAAAAATTTTTTAAAGAAAATAAAGTTGACCTACAATGAATGTTTTAGAAGAGGGGAAATAAGAGATAAAAATAAACAAATTTATTTAATAGAGGACCTTGTACAGCCTCTAAAATGCTAATGTGACTGTATATTTTTAAGAGGAGGCTATGAAGATATAATATGTTCCACATTTACTTACTCATAGAACTTTTTCTTCACATATATTAACGTCTATAAAACATTAATGTTTCAAAAATCACATGACTTTAGCCTGGAAAATAATTTAAACAAGGACTTTAGATGCTACTGAAGCAATTTTTTTAGATCAACATCTCATTTTCAGCAATCACTTAATGTTGACTTGTTCAAAATAAACTAGTCATAAAATATACCCCTATATATGTTAAGGCCCAGTTATTTGAGAATTCTATATAAAATAATAAATTTGACTTCTGAGTTGTTGGCCTTCTACTCCTCTGGCAATAATGAGGTAGCCACTGTCAACTGAGGAACTTCAAGTTTATGGCAAAGGAATGTTCACTAACACACAGGCAACAATTCTTTTTGCTCTCTTTAAGACATGCAGCTCATGCAGAACTGGTATAAGGCATTAACACACAAGTTGAAAAAGTTAAGTCTTGGACTGAGTTCCCCAGGAAGCCAAATCAGACAAGCTTGCATGGGGGAGGAGTTACTGGGAAGAGCTCACAGATCAGCACCTGCAGGGGAGCAAGGAAAGCAGGATAGGTGTTTATGATTCATCACAACAAAGGCTTCAGCACATCTGTGGGGAGCTCTGGGACCAGGGACTGTTAGCTATCCAGCCTTGAGGTAAGGACGAGAGGGCAAGACCTTTAGGTCCTCCCAACATAACACACTAGAACTGCATGCCAGCTCCCCAGGGAAGCAGTCTGACCACAACAAGGGAGCCTCTTTGGCTGAGGAGGATTTTCCAAGGGACAATCAGCAGAGAGTCACCTCCTACTACTTCCCTCAGTAGGGAGATTGAGTGCCAAAGTCCTGAAGGAGGCCTGGACAGCACATCCCAGTGTCAGCACATCCCAGTATCCACCACAACATTTGCCAACATATCCCAGATTCAAATGCAAAAGGAGTGCCTGACCCACAATCGCAGAGGTTGGGGTGGCTGGATAGGATCAAAGTACATGTATACATATACAAAAATGTCATAATAAAATCCCATTCCTATCCAATCTGACTCACACGCTAATAGACAAGCTCTGTTTAAAAACCAGTAGCCAAAGACCTAGGAAGATCGTATCTGTATTGCTTTGTCCATAATAAAACTGTGCTAAAAACTGCAAATAACCTTTTTCTTTTCTTTGAGCTGGTGTATTGATTCTTAAGTCCATACATATGCCAGGCAAGCACCTACCACAGAGTCTTTCATAAAGACTTTTTGAGACGGGGTCTTGCTAATTTGCCCAGGCTGACCTTGAACCTTGAACTTTCTATCTGAACCTCCTAAATAGTTGGGATTACTGGCCTGTACCACCAAGCCTTTCGAATAATCTTAGATTACTAAGGCATTTATTTCAGAGGCTAAACTATGTGATGAGAAACTCATTGGCTAGCCTTGCCTTCACTTGAAGCCTGAATGTTCATCAGAAGACCTGAGCACAACAAAGATTTCTTAAAGAAACAGAAGTCTATGAAATGAAACAGCATGAGAAAACTGAAAGTAACCTTTTCAGCACTGGAGTACATTTCTAAATCATATTTTCTTATGTGTGCGTTAATAAAATAAAGTATTCTAGGTTCCCCCAGTTCCCCTTTTTAATATGTACTAATTCAATCAAAACACATGTAATGAGGGTCTTCCTTGATGAGACACCATGGTGAGCACTAAAGGTAGAAAGAAGTTCACTGCAGTAGAAAGGACAGGCATGTAAACAGCTGGTTATAAATCGCCCACACATTCATTCATTCATTCATTCATTCATTCATTCATGTGTATCTAAAATAGTGACCATACACCCACTGCTAACAGGGTACACACGCTTCTTGCCTTTAAGTAGCTGGCATGCAGTGTGATCAGCATTCAAACAAAAAGGCTGTGGAACATGCTGAAGTCTTGTTTCCACTGGGAAGGAGGGTGGCAGCAAGCTCCATACCAGGAAATTTAATAACAGTAAAAAATTAAAACTAATATGTGTGCTTATAATACATCTATAAACTTGCTTAGCTTTCAAATTAACCCTCTGAAGTAGACATATTACTAATCCTGTTCCTTTTATACAGATGAGGAAACCAACACATGGAGAATAAACAGCTTAATCAAGGTCACAAAGGAAGCAAGTGGCAGCCTGTGATTCTCACCTTTGGAGTTGCACCCCAATGATTTGGGAGCTGATTACAGAGAAGGGAAGGGTGGTAAGCATTCAGGTCTCAGAAACTGCAAGCAAAAAATGAAAACAGTCAGGCACATGCCTGTTAGTCTGCAGACACAGGCTTAAGGAAAAGCAGTGAGAGCCCAGACCTGAAAACAGGGGGACCCAGGAGATGAGCAGACTAAACAGGAGCCTAAAAGAAGAGGCAGGGAATGTAGGACAGGGGGTAATGACAGTTCTGCCTACTGTCAAGAACTTTAGTAAGAATAAAATACCTAATGTACACTGTGAGCATCCTATAAGCCAGACAAAACCTAAGTCTCTGTGCATTTTGTTTGAACCTGGTCTCACTGCAGTTCAGTGAGGAAGGGGCTGCTATCACCCTGGATGACAAGAATGCTGAGCTTTAAAGGAAGCTGAGTTAGGTCATGAGTTACAGAGCTTGGATTCTAAATCAAGGAACTGTGACACCCACACCCATGCTGTCTAGGCCTGCCACACCTTACACACATTGGATGTGGGATGGCAGCCTGGTGATGGGTGGGCAACCTAAAGCATAGTGCTCCTGCCCAGGAAGATCAGAGGAACCCCTTGCCTTGGCAAGCCAAAGAGATCTGAGAAATTCGGGTGCTTAAGGAGCACTGAGAGCCTAGTGGTCTCTGGAGGGAGAAGGAAGGAAGAGCTGGGTGGACCACAATCACAGCAACTGGCTGAAGAGCTGCTGATTCCATGAGTCTAGAGAATGGGTGTGTGGCAATAAATCCTAAGAGGTAGACCCAGGACAGAGAAAGAAAGCGCTGAGGTCAAGGTCACAGACTGAAGGATCCGGAAGGCCACTGGACATTTACGTGTGGTACTGAGGAAAAATCAGCTGTGAACTTGTGCACTGGGCTGCTGATACACAGGGAGCTTGAGAGTGAATCATCTAGGGAGATTATAAAACCAAGAGAAGAATGTGGACAGAAACCCAAGTGTTCAGGACAGAATCCATTTCCTCCTTTGTAAAAGTAAGGAGCTACATCTGCCTTTTCTAGAACCCACTTGGGAGACTGTTTCCTTTGGACTTTGTCATTACTGCCATTTCTGGAGGGGGGGAAGGCCTCTTAAAACTCATCATCTAGCACATGTGAAGGGTTCAATTACTTGGCAGTGGCATATTTTCACTGAAGAAAAATGAGCTAGTTAAATGATGCATACATTTAATAGTGTGTATGCGTAAGTACATTTAACTGAATGAAAATTGCACCAACAGCTTATCATTTATTTCCATAGACTTCCTGGCCACTCTGAGCTCATGCTGCTGTTGTCAGTCATGCCTCTCTTGGACACAGCACCACTCACTTTGGATGAAAGTGCCGGATGCACTCATCTCCCAGGACATGCCGTTTTCCAACCTTATTTATGTTCTCTCTTCACCGTTCAGCCAAAAAAATTATCACCATGCAGCTCCCACCCCCCAGCCTCGTTAGGAATTTGTACAACAAGCCATTGCTCCAGTTTGTCTCGTTTTAAAGCAAAGAAAAACTTCCCAATGTTAACCTGTAGCAAAATGAGAAAAAGAAGGGGAAAAAAAAAAAAAAAAAAAGGCTGTTTGGTCCGCCCTCCCTGGCTGTTGTTACCTTGCAGTTTATGCCACAGAGACAACGGAGGGAGGTCTGAGGAGGAGGCAGCCAGAAGCCACTGACTCCCGTGGATACTCGGAGCCCCTGGGTGAATTCAGCCCTTCCTACTTTCCCTGATGCTCTTTCCCTGTATGACTTTGAGAGGGGCTGGCTAGTGAAGGATTCCTCAATGTGTGCCTGCTGAGGCGAGCGTCTTGCTGGGGGAGGGAGGACCCAAGTGAGAGCAGTGTGACAAAGGAATCCAGCACAGATCTCGCCGTGCTGGAACTGGCTCGACTCTTGCATGCAGTTTTTGAAGTCCGCAAAACAGAAATCAAATTACTATCATCTTACGCCGCTGGAAGCTCAAGGAAAGGGGATTCCACACTGCTTCCGCAGCATGCGACAGGCGGCAAGTCACAGGACAGTCAAGTGTATCTGCCCGGCGGACCCTGGAGACAAATGTAAGTTCTTGTGCAGCTGTTCCATTGCAGTGGGATTTTCTTTCTGACTGAAGTCATGCTTAGCCACGATGTCATCATTACCATGAGAATTTCTGTTGTGGAAAGTTATCTGCTGCTTTTCCTTTACAACATGTACTTTTTCCTCCATTTATTAACTAAGCCACATAATGCAAGCTGAAATTCCTGACAGGAATTTGTGGCAGGTCAGCCAGAGACTGCTGACGGAGGAGCTATAACCCACAGTATGTCCAATTATGATGAGATTCGCACAGCATGTGTGTTTAATTGACTTTCTTAATGGAAATGTTACACATCCTTTCTTCCCTATTTTGATTGTGTGCTGTTTTAACTTTACCATGGCTGAGCTAGTCAAATCAACATATCCTACTGGAGAAAGCGATTCCTAGCACTTACCAAACTTTTCTTGTTTGGCCAGGAACATATTTGTCTCCCCCAAATGCTCAAAACTCTGCTTTTTTACCTTCGCTTCCGTGAACAATTCCAGCCCAACAGTGGACTCATACAACACTGAGAAGGAAATGTAAAGAGCCATCACACTTCTTTAACTGTTACCATGGGAAAGGAAAAGCCAGCTGGAGATGCCACACAGGTGCACCAGCACAGCACACCACAGTGAGGGGACGTGAAAACCAGCCTGAGCTGGGGCTGTAACTCACTAGTCTAGCCACACTTCATCTGCTACAACTTCCGGCTTAGACATGGAAATTCTTTGTGAAGACAATACTTCTTTGAGCTCGGTTCCAAACTCCTTAATGAAATTAGATGGTGACTGGAATCTCTACCATCATGACTTCAGCTCTGGGGAGGGTAACACTTCTGATGCAGTTAACTGGACAATTAGCTCTGAAAATCGAACCAACCTTTCCTGTGAAGGGTACCTCCCACCAACATGCCTCTCCATATTTCATCTCCAGGAAAAAAACTGGTCTGCTCTACTGACCACCGTAGTAATTATTCTAACCATTGCTGGAAATATTCTCGTCATCATGGCAGTGTCCTTAGAGAAAAAGCTGCAGAACGCCACCAACTATTTCCTGATGTCACTTGCCATAGCTGACATGCTCCTGGGTTTCCTAGTCATGCCTGTATCCATGTTAACCATCCTGTATGGTGAGTGGCATTAGTCCCCCAGCTGTCCCTTCTGTAGTCACACAGAGCACGTGCATGCTGTTAGCAGAGGGTGGGGCTGGAGGGGGCTAGACAAGAAGCTTTGTTCATTTTCTAGCATCACAATACATGAGGTACTTAAATTTTACTCTTAAAATGGTGTTTCACATGGAAAACAATCAGATAACCTAATATCTGATCATTGGAGAGTTCTGTGCTTTAAAGCCTATTTTATATAGAGACATAGTTACAGAGCTTTGTGTCTTAAAATGTACAATTATATACAAATATAGAAAAACTATTACCCATGCTCCAATAGTCTTCAGGCAGTAACTCGCCCATCATTTTGAGTCCTTGTGACTTTTGCACTTTTGTATTCCAGCCTCAGGACAGAACAGTTTTATCTTTGTCACAGTTTTCAGCGCTTCTAATGGAGTGGCAAAATCTTCCCAGTTATCGAGAGTGCATTAGTGCTAGAATGGATTTAATGTTTAAAGATTCAGTCTCCATTAGAATAAATGAATTACTCCAGTTTTAACTGTCCCCTTGCCCAGAGAAGCCATTTGGAAGAATACCTTTCAATTATGCTCTCGACTCTTTAAAAATGCATATGCATAATGCCCTCCAGTCTGGTTCTGGAGAGGGTGGAAAACAAACAGGAAGAGATTAATCTTGCTTTCTTAACCGAGTTTGACACAGTCAAACCCCTCAGCAAGTCGGCAAACACTGGGATGGCTTCATAGGGAGAAGTGGGGGATAGAATATGACGTGTCTTCCATATTATGAGTAATACAGATCCCAACTAACAAAGAGCAAAGCTTAGAATATTGAGGTTGCTGACACCTGTGTTCAGCAGTCACCCCGAGTAGACAGATTTAGGGCTGCCTTTAAAGGAGAATGGTTTCTGGCCAAGTCCTAAAGGTCTGAAGAGCGTGAAGGAGGTGAGCCAGGAAGAGCGAGCATGCATTTAGACAGAGTTGCTAAGGCTCGCCTAAGGGTCAGCTCCTGCTTGACCATTCCAATGTCACACCAGAATAATTCTATTAAATTCGTCCATCAATTCTCACACACTGGGGAGGAGTTCTGCTTCCTAAAACCCGGGCCTGCCCTCTTGAGACAAAACTCCAGAGAGGGTGGGAGGGGTGACTGCAGGAACCCAAACCACAGGAGGAGGGCTGGGTAAACTACAGGGCAGGAGGGGCCAGCACTGGCAGGGTAGAAAGTGCAAACAGGTCCCTTGCCTCCACTCAGGGTGCACGGTTTCCCCCTAGTGACGACTTTTAGGTTTGCAACCCGCACTCTCTCCAGTCCAGTCACTACTGGCCTGGTCCTACACTTTCCCCAGCCTGCAGGTTGCCCAGTAGTCTTGCTTAAGGAAATAGTCCCTTCTTATCCCGTTAGAGAACTGGGACTAAGAGGTAGATGAGGTTGAGAGGGGCTGTTTACTTTCAGAGAAAAACCCTGCAAGAGCCAACATCTGTTCCCAACAGGCAGAACCAGTTTCATCTCTCAGGACCTTTAGGACATCAGACCCTTATGAATAATGCAAGGAGTGAGGAATAATGAAAGGGGCAAGACTTGAGTCCTTTCCCTTTCTAAATACCCCTGGGGGCAGTTCAGTAGAGAGGAAACGTTTGCCTGAGGCAGGTTTGTTCAGCTTGAGGTCTCTACTTTCATAAAGTAAAAAATGATCACTAAAATTTCCCTTCCCATTTGTAGGCAGACGTAATATCGCTGCTCATACTGTTAGCAAAACTAACCAACAGTTTGCATAACCATTTGATCCTCTCCAAAACACACACAAGAACAGAACACTTTATGTCATGAAGGCATCATCTGTCTTCCTAATATAGCAGATAACCCACAGGGCTTCTTGTACTGGAATTTGAGAAGTTTTAAAACCTTTTGATGTTGGGGACCCACCTCTAGCCATTCCCTGGAGAGAATGATTTAATAGGGTGGTTTCAGTTAGGACCTGACTCCAAAGCTGACTCTAACAAGTAGGGGGTCAGTAAGACCACTTCCCTAGGCAGCTGCTCTCCCCCATGGGGCTCCTGGGCCAGCAACAGCATTATTGCTCAGAAGTTTGAGAAAAATGTACATTTTCCAGCCTGATTCAGAGGTACTGGATCAGAAATTCCAGAGGTAGGCCCACCTTTGCCTGTTTTAAGGAGCCAAGAGGATCAGATGTTCACCTAAAGTCCTTCTACTCACACCAAGCAAGGAGGCAAGACCCTTAATTTTCTTTGTCTTTTTTCTTCTCACACACCCCAAATTTGAGTTTAATACCTAAAACATTATTAGGTGATTATATGTCATAAGTGGAGACATAGTCAAGATGTAGATTTCAGGTCATTTAGTCACACCTCTTATAGCATCCCTGTGTGAGATTGGACAAGTCTAAGATGGCTAAGACAGGAGTAACTTTAGGGATACTAAATTCCAGAAGAAAAAAAAAAATATGTGGATAAATAGCTGTGAGAGGTACTTCAGTAAAGGAGCTCAAAATATAGAACTTTGGACATGTCATTCAATAAAAATGGTTTTGCTAGGTGGAAGAGAGAACCATGAAAGAAGAACAAGTTAGCTCTCCATGCCGATGTAATTCCAGACACCAGAAATGTTCAGTGACTCATACTGTACTTAAGCACACTTGCTATTTATTAGTTTGTTCAAATGTTGAAAATCTCTTCTAATGCCTTCTGTTAGCCCCTATGCCTTCCCCAGTATGTAAACAGTCATCCCAGGAGATCACATGCTGCAGAAAACACAAGACTGCTTGCTGATGCTAAGCTTCTGCACCACAGGGTACCGATGGCCTTTGCCTAGCAAGCTCTGTGCGGTCTGGATTTATCTGGATGTGCTCTTCTCCACGGCCTCCATCATGCACCTCTGTGCCATTTCATTGGACCGCTATGTCGCCATCCAGAACCCCATCCACCATAGCCGCTTCAACTCCAGAACCAAGGCATTTCTGAAGATCATTGCTGTTTGGACCATATCCGTAGGTAAGCCAGAACATCTGTCAGGGTTGTGTTTGAAATGACAGTTTGTGCTTTCCCAGGAGACTTGTTCTGTTTAGCTGCACTGAAACCTGACATTCTGGATCTCTCATTCCAAGTGTTGCCAGATATGTCCCAACATAGTAATTATCAGAGTTGTTTCAGGAAAGGAAAATCTGTTTGTCACTGACTGAGAACATACATTTGTGTTGCTTTGCACAAGAATAAAAAGACCAAGTCAGGAATGACTGAGATTTCTCTCATTTCCAAGTTCACTATTCTAAATCTTGGATCTCCCAGAAACCTTTTGCAATCACTGGACTTGTGGTCACTGTATGAATGCAGACACTCATACTAGATAGCATGGGCCTTGAGGGGGATCCAGAAGAGGGTATGAGAAGGTGGGGACAGGGCAACACTTGCTCAAGGCCCACGTGTCCTGGCCGCCTGGCACCTGGCCTTTCCTCCTGCTGCAATACCGAACACCAAATGATTCTGATTCACTTCAGTTAGGCCCATTGCACACACTCATCTCTTGCTGTTATTGATCTTCTGTCACCATAAAGCTAAAGGGGCAGCTCTCCGGTGGCAAAGGCAATTGTACTTGTCACCTCAGAAGAGTTGTTTTCCAATCAAAGATTCCCTGAAACCCGTTGCAAAGCCTCAAAGCTTTCAGATGGAAATACTGTATTTGCTAAGGCCACAGGGGGTGGTTTCTATTTTCAAGAGAGACTATGGGATTTGATGACAGGTCAAAATTCAAGAATTCATGTAGGACTACTGACCACTCTGTCACAAATATACCTACTGGTAATAGCAAACACGTTTTGTGCCCATTGCTTCCTTTCTGGCCAAGAATGGGGGGTAGTGTGATGCTATCTCCATCTTACACATGGAAAAATTAGTATTCAAAAAGGGAAATAAGGTGTACACAGCTAGCGAGGGGCACAGTGCCCATCTTTTCTGGTTCTGATGGTAACAATAACAAGTTACATAGGTCCTGAAGAGGCTCAGCACAAATATCTTCCTGAATTTTCTGTTGTTTCTGCTTCTATTATTTTGTTTGGTTCTGTGGTTTTAGTTTGTACTATGTTTTAAACTTAGATCCTTAGTTCACCTAGAATTTTTTCCCTTTTTTATTGCAGTGTAGTTGACAAATTGTTTTGATTTCAATATGTACACTGTGATGGCTTAATGTAAAAATGGTTTGTAAAATGAATACCACTATCAAATCAGTTAATTTCTCCACCTTAATAAGATGCCTTTTGTTTTGTGGTCAGAACACAAAGCAAATAGTATTACTAAATGCAGTCACTATATCATACACTAGATCCCCTGAACTAACCTACACCCTCTTGCCTCGTCCCTCTGACCTCCTATAATTGATCTACTCTGGAAGGAAAGGAAATACTCTAAAGAGATGTTTATGTCCCTCCCAGCTTTCAGTAGCCCCCCGCCCCAAATCAAACTTTCCCCAGGAATCCCATGTTGAGGGAAAGGAAAGGTACCAGTCGGAAAAGGAACTTGTCCTCCAATGAAGAAAGCAAAGCTTACAAAGATCTGACAGTTCATCAAACCGCCTTACAGGACAGACCAGAGCCAGAAAATGATGGGTAGGCACTGGGTGGGACCGCACCTTGGGCAGAGCTACCTAATTATGCATATATTTTGCCGTCTATTGAAACCTAAACATCATGCAGGACCCAAAAGATGGATTTGGGAGTCACTGGACATCTGTGCTCCTCTCAAGCTGGTCACACTGACTAAATCTCCTTTCTCTGCTTCTAGTGTTCTCTAACTGGCATTTTGGGGAAGGATAGCCAAACTTAGCTTGCAGCTACCAGGGCCCAGATTTTAACTAAAAATCCCAGCAACAGTAATTGTCATTCATTTATACAAATTCAACTTTACTTCAACTTCATATGCAAGCAAGACCATGTAGTATAAACCTTTGACTTGTTTCCCTTACCATCATACTCCAAGACTCTCCACACTGACAGAAATGGCAAGGTTTATTTAATGGCTGCATAATAGGGAATTGTATTTGTGTATGACATTTCTTGCTTTCAATGAATAAATGTTCTTTGGTATCTACTAATGTAAAATTTTCTCTTCAATTTATTGACATTTTCTTGATCAACTTATGAAACTGAACTTTCATAGTGTACACAAGTGCTGGGTTTGGGTGACTCGTCATTCTTTCCATTAGGTTTTATTTTAGCTTCCTTCACTGAATTTGAAAGGTTTGCATTTCTTCCCTAAGATCTTTATGTAATCATCTTTAAGATTTTTCTGTATATTTTTTGAAAGGCTGTATAGAACTTAATTCCTACTCTCTGGTACCTTTTAAAATGGTATTTTTTTTCCTACAACTCTAACCTCTTCGATAATCATCTCTCCATTTACATTTTCTATTCCTTTGTGAGTTCCATCTACAAATTTTTAGCTATCTTTTATATTTAAAAGATATTTTACTGTTTTTATTTTATGAGTGTATTGCCTGCGTGTATGTAAGTGCACCCATGTCCTACAATACCCATGCACGTCAGAAGAGGGTGTCAGATTCCCCTGGAACTAGAGTGACAGCTGTTAGCCACCATGTGGGTGCTGGAAATTGAACCCAGGTCTTCTGCAAGAGCAGCCAGTGCTCTTAACCGCTGAGCCATCTCTCCTGCCCCCTGTATTTTTAATCATCATCAATGATTAAAATGTATTTCTAATGATGCTTCTTGCCTTATCAACTCCACTGACATTATGTTGAAGTCAGTCTCTTGTTTTTTTCTCTCCGCTTATATCCTCAGCTGGCCTGGAGCTCACTACATATCCCAGGCTCACTTGATCTCAGATCCTCCTGCATCTGCCTCTCGAGTGTTAGAATTGAGACTCATGCCAGATTTCTTCTGATTATCATTTTTCTGACTGTGTCTTAATCTAGCCTATTATTTTCAAACTGTGACTTTATATTTTAAGTGTGTTGCCTGTAATCAATGATTCCAGTTTTATTTTTCTCAGTCCATCTTTGTCTTTTCATTGTAGTATCTACTTCTTTCCCAGTTACTTTAAGTCAAATGTATTTATGTATTTGAGTTGAAAGCTGCTTTTTGCATGTGGTCCTCTGTTATCTTCTATATTCCAGTTCCCCATTCTTGCTTCCTTTTGGGATGATAATTGTTAATTCATCATTCCCTTTAAGCTTATTAATTATCCATCCTTTTATTTTTTATTGAGTTTTGTGCATTTCATACAGTAGCTCTTAATCCTATTTGGACACCCAGATGTCCTTCAGTGCAAGTTCATCCACTGGATCCCAGTCACTTCCTTAAAGAAGATCAGCTCTCCCTCACGGAGTCATAATCAGCTTCCAATAGCTCCTCAGCTAAGGTTAGGGCCTGCTGCCCATTTCCCCAGTTCTATGCCAAATTTTTATCTGACTGAATTTTCATGGGTCTTACACATGCTGACACCATTGCTGTAAGTTCATATAAAAAATGGCTTGATTCCTAAGACTTTTTATAGTAACTCCATGGCCTTCCAAAGTCTCTAGATTTTGCTTTGGTTGTTTGTGAAAACTCAGCTATTAGTGTTCCTCTGAAACCACCATGTCACATGGCCATTCATTAGAATACCTTCTGTATTTTAGCAGTTTTTATTTTGATATGCCTAGAGATGTGTAGCTTTGCTTTTACCCTGCACTGGGTTTGAACAGTTCTTAAATTCTTAAATTTGAGGTTCAGTATCATCTGTGGTCACTTTGGCGAATCCTTTGACCATTCTCTCTTGTCCTCACTCTGGGACTCCAACTCACGCATTATAGACCTTTGACCCACGCTTCTTAGGAAGCAATCCATTTTCTACATTTTCTTCTTTTTCCCTTTCTTTTCTTACTTCAGTCTGAATAGTTTCTGACTTTTCTTCTGCCATCAGCTTCTTCCAAGCTACTGCCAAACCCATCTATTATATTCTTAATTTCAGCTGCTAGAGTCTTAGATTTTTTTTCCCCCCAGTTGATTCCTTAGCAGAGATTTCAGTTTTCTGGACTAATTCTCTATGTTTTCCACTATCAATTAGTAATCTCCATTTTCAGAATATCCAAATTGCCTGGAGATTTGTTTCCTGATTTCCTCCCTGGCCCTCTCAATTCTTTCAGTTGACATGCCTAGTAAAGTTTTTTAATTGAATAGTGTCCCGTGTAAAGAATCTGGTGGATATGTTGGTGTTAGCTTTCACCATAGGGGAAATCCATCAGCTTTAACAGAGCTGTTAAAGGGGGGGGCATGTTCATGTGCCCCCTTCATACAGTCAGAGACTATATTTGTTTTAAGTGGGGTTCCTGCAAGAGCTTGTTATTTTCTAGTTGAGCTTTACACTTGCATTGCATTCCTTTGTGGTCTCAGATGAAAACCTAGTGTGTTCTTGACTTTAGAAGCTCTGACTGCAGATCTCACATCCTCAATCCATAATATGACTACAAACTCTCAGTCTCTATGTAACCAATCAGTCAGTGTGTGAGGAGCAAAGTGGTCCCTATCACCTGATGTTTCTGCCCCTCCCTTCTGCCTTGACAGCACTCGGTGACTGGGGACTTGACTTCTACTTTGATTCTGGTAATGCCACACCACCTTTCTGTCCCAGCCTCTCCAGTGTATCTTTCTCTGTCTCTTCATTTTAACATACTTTGTTCCTTGATTTTATTTACATTTTCACAAGTAACATAAATGGATGTTAATTTTTCACAAAATCTCACACTCTGCCCCTTAATATTGAACTTCACCCTGCCCACATTTACTATGACAATCGACATAATTAGTTTCATTTCCCCCATTTTATTTCTGACATGTATTTTTCCTTGTTCCTCTCAATCCCACCCCTTCCCCAGTTTTCATATTTTTATTAACTTAAAAATAATTTCTTCATTTCCTTTACCCATCTCACTTACTTTCAATTTCTACTGGACATTTCTTCTTTTCCTGATTAAAATTCCATCCCAATTATTACACTGATATTTC